CCCTCTCTCACACATCACAGCGCAGCGGGGAGGCGGGGTTGGGGCACTGCACTCTGTCAAACACAGAGCAGGGCCGATCAGGGGGTTTGGTGGGCCCGCACCCTGTTAAACACAGAGCCGCAGGGTGATCAGGGGATTGGGGAGCTCCCCCTATCAGGCACAGAGCAGGGCAGATAGGGAGGTTGTGGCCCCGCCCCCTGTCACACACAGAGCCGCAGGGCAATCAGGGGGTTTGGGCGCTGCCCCCTGTCACGCTGATCCCGGTGCTGGGAGGCATATTACCCTTTTACTATATAGGATAGAGGTCTGGTGCACGGGTGGGGGCCGGCTGGTTTTCCCTGAAGGGTGTCCTGGATCAGTGTGGGGGTCCCCACTGGGGTGCCTGGCCAGCCTGGCTGAGGGGCTGAGGGCCGTTTTCAGGTGACTGAAGCTCCCAACCGCTCCTTTTTTTCTTTTTTCTTTTTTATTCTGGGCCAGCTTTAGCTCTGAGGCCTCGGCTGCTGAAAGCCGGTTTCTGGCCTTTGTTTTTCCTTCTGTATTTGATACAATATTTCGGTCCGGCTGGCTGAAGGCCGGCTGACTGAAAGCTGGTTTCTGGGGTTTTGTTTAGCTTCTATAGTGGCAACATAGTTGCTTAGAGTTGCAGCTCAGAGGCCGGCAAGTTAGGCGGGGAACGTTGGAGTCTGCCATCACTGGAGCAAGCAAGCCTCCCTGTTCGCTTCAGTGCATGGCTGCCGGCCGCCATCTTGGCTGACAGTTAATTTGCATAAGGATATGCTGATTAGCCAATGGGAAGGGTAGCGGTCGTACGCTAATTACCATGTTTCTCTTTTATTAGTGTAGATAATTTTATTTTTATTTTATTTTATTTTTTTCAGATAGGGAGGGAGAGAGAGAGATAGAAACATCAATGATGAGAGAGAATCATTGGTCAGCTGTGAGGCCACATTTTAATTGAACTTTAAATCATAAGTAAAGTGTTAGGTGGATAGAGACAGGAGGAGGAGTGAGGTATGGTGTATAAATATATTTGTAAGGCTGTTGTGAAGAGAATTAGAGTAATGTATTCTAAAGTTGAATGACTTAATTTTCCTTTAATATTATTCATTTTGAAGAGTAGAGCTGATTTTTTTTAAAATGTAGGAGTTCTGTAATAATACCTAATGTATGTTGAGTGTATACTATATTATTAAGAGTACGTGTTCTGGATTCAGTCCTGAATCCCAGTCCCAACTTTTCGTTTATCAGTTGGGACCTTAGGCAAGCTGGTACATATATTTATCGAGTCTATAAGCATATATAAGATGTTTTTCTTTTCAGAAGATATATCCATTTTCATATGGGTGTTTTCTCTAACATAGGAAAATAATTCAATTGGCCCTCCAGGAGTATGACATGAACTTCATGGGCTTTTGCAGTTGGGGAGATGGATTTGTACTGAAGTACCTTGACTAGCTATTTTTAGGGGGTACATATTTTTACTCTTCATTCTCTGTGAAGGTAATTGGTCCATGGAGGGTTGGAATCTATTACCCTCTACTCCTGAACTCCATGTTCTAACCAGCTGAGCCAACTACTAAATTAACTTGAGTGTGCTAATCATAAAGTAGTAAATTTAGCCTTATAAGAGATATAAAATATGATCTAATTCAACTCTTCCTCCATGTGGCTGGAAGGTTAACTTTATTCACTTATTAATTCATGCATTATTCAGTAGATATTTGCTAGACCTTCTATTTGCCAGGTAAGCTCATGCTCTGAAAATACAAAGAGAAATGAGAAGGTGCTCCTGCCTGCAAGGCCCCCACAGTACAGTGGCAGTGGGAGAGTGAAATGCATACAAATAACTGCAAAATGTTGGGATTAAGTTTAAATAGTTCAAAGTACTGTATGCAAAGTGCTGCAAGAACATTAAGACTGGGGTGTGTAGGAAGGGCTTACAGAGATTAGCAGAATTAAGGAAGATGGTTTCATAAGTACAAAGTGGGAAATAGGCTACAGTGTGGAGGTCCATCTGTAAGTAACTGATGGTGAGTTAGCTTCTGTCTGAATACTTTTAGATATGAGCATACTGACTCATGAGGCAACCCAGCCCATTACAGATAGTTTTGGTTCCTAGAGCAATTTCTGGCTTGAAAAGTACTTAATTATAATAGGATTGATTAGATTTGTTCCATAAAAGTATCAGGCACTGACATAAGATTAAAATACATTTTTAAATTGCGTACAGAATACCACAGGAGGTAAAAGGTTAGAGAAGTAAGAATAGAATATTTTGGTAGATGATAAAAAATATTGGATAAGTCAGAACAGTACTACAGTTGCTTTAAGAACAAGGGATTAACAAGTGATTCCCAATGAAGCAGAAGCTTTTATATTTTTATAAATTTTCTAAGGAAAAAATTAGAATGTGTTTGCTTAATTTATACAAACAGAAGAACAAAGAATGCAATTAGTAGAATTTACACTTTTTATTAATATGCTCTATCAGATTTTCTGAATTTATACATTTTAAATATCATAAAATAAGATTGAACTGATTATTACCATACTATAAAATGTAAAACTACTTAATTAATTTTTTTTTAGGTACCTAACAGATTTTGAACCAATTCAGTGCATGGGTCGTGGTGGGTTTGGAGTTGTCTTTGAAGCTAGAAACAAAGTAGATGACTGCAATTATGCTATCAAGAGAATTCGTCTCCCCAACAGGTAATGTATGGTACTTTTAATCAACTTGGAGTTAGAACTGTATAACTTAATCTATAGGCAGTATGTCCTTCTTACTATACTCCAGAGAAACTATAGAAAACAGTTTCTAAACTACTGAATCTTATGTTCTAAGTGCTACCAGGTAACCAGTTGTCTAAAAGATGTGATCTACTTTGGTTGCGTTGAATCTACTTTTTAAAATATGCCCTTTTTTTAAATTTTAACAACTCAGAATTTTCCTGTAGTAATTTTAATAACTATAGATTTTAAAACTTAGCATCATTTAAAAACATCTATATTTATTGTGGAAAATAAGGAAAAGTATTAAAATAAAAATTTCTATTTTTTTTCTACTCAGTAATAACCACTATTAACATTTTAGAGTATTCCTTTTGATTTTTTTTCTGGTCATAAGTTTACCTAATTATCAATCCAGTATAGTTTCATCTCTTGCATTGTATCCTCAACATTTTCCATGTTAATAAGAGTACTAGTATTTTATTAAAATGTTAAAATACGTTGAAAGTATTTTATAGCTGGATAATAGTCCAGTTAATACATGTGCCATATTATGTTTAATCATTTGTTATTGTTCAACATTTAAGTTTCCAATTTGGCAATTAAAAATAACTTTTCAGTGTTCATCTTTTATATAAATACTAGAGGCCCAGTGCACGAATTCATGCACCAGTGGGGCCCCTCAGCCTGCCTGTGAGATCGGGCCAAAACTGGCTCTCTGACACCCTCCAAGGGGTCCCGGATTGCAAGAGGACACAAGCCAGGCTGAGGGACCCCACCAGTGCACGATCGGGGCAGGGGAGGGACGCAGGGGTTGGCCAGCTGGGGAGGGACTATATGAGGGCTCCAGGGCATGTCCGGCCTGTCTCGCTCAGTCTGGATCAGCTGGACCCCAGCAGCAAGCTAACCTACCAGTCGGAGTGTCTGCCCCCTGCTGGTCAGTGCACATCATAGTGAGCAATTGGGCGACCTTGGCATATCATCCTATCTAATAAAAGACAAAAAAGGGTAATTAACCGTACCTCCGCAATGCTTCCCATTGGCTAATCAGCAAGATATGCAAAGTAACTGCCAACAAAGATGG